CAAAATGTTTTCACGAAACATCAGCTTCCCGTTTTTCCTCAATGCAGCATTTGTAAAATCATGAGGGTTGTTAAACTGGGCATTTATTATTTGCCAGTTTCTCTGTTAATTTCTTACTTTCCTGGAGATAATTGTGTACCCCGAATACAGTGATACAATTCTGTATTGTTGGTGATCCATGTAATTACATCTCTCTCTCTCTCTCTCTCTCTCTCTATTTGCAATGATTTTCAGTCTGATGTCTCCCTAAAAGTGTTTACTTTTATCTCAATTAAAATATGCGGGAACTGCTCAATTAATTCAAACATTTTTGGAGACAATTGGGAGCCTTCTTGGAATTTGCCCAAGATGGATGTGGAAGATAAATCAATGTAAGGAGTTGTCCTCCTAAATTGTGAAATTATTTCCGGTCGGGGAATGTTTTCCTGCTAGAGAAAGATGTGAAAATGGATAATAACAAGGTTATAGAAAAAGGCAAATTGGCATGCATATAACAATTGGTATCGTTGTGAATCTGGACTATGCAGTTTAACAGGCAGTTGCAACAGAAGAGCAATTGAGATTGGCCCTTCTAAGAGGCAATTTTATGATGGGATTATTTTGTACCAACATGAAGAATGGAATTTTTTTTAGATTGCCATTTTGTAATGTATCTTTTCTGGAATACAACTGTTAATTCTTTGTCTTAGAAAATTACCAGATTGTGTGAACCTTAAATATTTCTATTTTAATTACATATCTTAATAAATATTCAGCTGCTGTAATATATTTACACTGTGTGGCTATGAAGTCATTTTAGAAACAACAACTGTTCAAAATATAGTGGCTGATTTATTATCTTGGGTCATGAATACAGAGTGCATTAGACCAATTCCTGAAAAAAATATAGTAATTTCCAACTATTTCCAATTGAAACTAGATTTGGTATTGACCTATATTCCCTTAATAGTCTAGGCCTGCATATGTCATATATCAAACAACTTATCTATCTACCTGCAGTATTTATCTGCAGTTGAAAATTAACACAACTGTATTTTAAGAAAAGTTTTTTGTTTAGTTTCCCTCTTACTACATGATTGTGGTTATTATTAAGTTGCTTGATGCTTAGTCAAATACTGATTGCTGTCATTAATTGTGACATCATGTCACAACTTGCAATCTCCTACCAGCTTCCCTATTGACATTGTTAGTTGGAAACTGGAAAGGTTGCAAATGATGACATGTGATTATGAGATGCTGCAAGTCATTAAGCGAGGACCACCTGTACAGCAATTTGTCCACATAGAAGGGATGTTGACATCCCAGTTGTCAGTGAAGTTATACTGGAACTTATTTAGCTATTTCAGTCCCTGGTATTACTAGAACAGACATAGGTAAATCTTTTGTCAGACTATATTAGAGCTTTTATTGGTGGTACTACTATTACTACTGGGAAGTAAGCAGAAAAATGTCGGACGTAACCTTGGATTGTCACAAATACACAGAATATAAAATCTTTGCTGAATATGAATAGCAAAAATACAAAAGTTGCTGCGTGAAGCCCAGCTATATTTTTGGAAAGTAAATTAAGAATTCCTAGCAATACAAATCAAATGTACAAAAAAAATGAAAAGCATATACTTAAGAGATATATCAGACAAGTTGCTCTTTCAATTCTCTGAGAGAAATGTGGTTCAGCTCTAGATGTCTAGAGCGGTCAGACTATCTGAGCCCACCAAGTATTTTAAGATTAGAACTATAAAACTGCATCCCTCTTCATAATTTCGGCAGATGCCTGGGTTTTACTGCTAGGATGAAATGAAACCAGTCCTGTGGAATTCAGGAAACTGGTTTATCCAGCAGTTCTAAGAGGCAAATACCCTTGTTACTTTTTGTGACGCCTTGACTCTTCCCTGTGGCATCTGAGCAAGCAACTTGGTTTCTGGCTTAGCTGCCAAGTTTTGGTGCCGCCCTCCCTGGTTTGCTTCTCAACTCCCTGCAGTTCTAATTGATGGGTGGAAACCTGCTGTGGGGATTTTGGAGTGAGGCACTAACAGAATTTTGGACTGGCGTGGGCACAGGGAACCAAACAAGAAATTTCAACAACCAGCTGCCTTGCAAGAAAAACAAGCATTTGTGGTTTCTTGGGACCAACAAAGAAAAAAAAAACCATCTGATATAGCAGGAAGTATGTCATTAGTCCAGCTCAGTGTAATCTAATTTACAGTATCTTTTTTTCAGTCCTTTTATAATTTGCTCATTTAGGTTGGTATCTTGAAAATTAACCACATCCATATAAGTAGTTTCCTGATAAGGGATTAAATGTATATACTTGAGAGTGAGATGGCAGTAAGCGTCAACTGTTTAGTGGATTTCTAATTATATTAAGTGCTTACACTCCAGGACAATTCAAAAATGATTCTGCAACAAAGACCTCTAGCACAAAAACTGGATTGTTTCACATCTAGTATGAAACATTTTCATCTAGGTTCCATCAAATCACTTAATAGCTAACAGCTTTTCTGCTCTGGAAAATGAAATATAGTAGGCAGTGATGTCTTATAGATAAAATGAAATATGCTAGGCAGTGATGTCTCTGAATAGCATACTAATGACAAGTTGTGTAGCATCAGTGAACATGGATTAAAACAAGAAATGCAATCTGAGACATATTAAGATGTCCTGAGCTGATCACTATCAAACATGTTTAATATAGGATTTCATGCACCATTTTGGATAATGGCAATCCAAAAATAGTAAGAAGATTTGAGTAAGCTGACAAAACGTTGGCATTTGGAACAAAACAAGACAGCACTCTGCATTGATCTGTTATATAGTGTATTTCTCTTAGGGCAGGGGTGTCAAACGTCATTATAGGACGTATTGCAATTTTTTCACCTTTCCTAAAATGGGGGTGGGCGTGGCCAGTGCATGACACATCCGGCCCATGGGCCACGAGTTTGACATCCCTGTCTTAAGGCATATATAAAGTAAAGCTTCTGACTTCATGCCAGAGCTTTGTATATCCTTAAGAACACACTTTTTTCTTTATGTTCACATCTGTGTATAGTCCATACAACCTGATACCATTTGGCTTGGGCAAGCACTATTCTACAAGCAAGGAGGCTTTCCCTCATCACTGTAGACTTTCCTTACCAGTGGGATATCTAAAGCTCTGTTTTAAAAGAGAGAAAAACTGCAAAATTGTTGAAAATATCATTCATCCTCTTCTTGCTGGTTTAAAGGATTTCTTGGCATAAGATTATTTTCATTTTACATCCATAGATTCCCAAAAGTGTTTTAAGAGATTTCCTAGCCCAATCTTCCTCCCCTCAGGAGAAATCCCCCAAATTAGACATTGTTTCTTCGTTAAAAATGCATGTCCTAATTTTTTTTATTATATTGGCTTATCAGGTTTTAGAGTTTATAAAACAACATGCAGTTTATCTGTTGAGAACATTCATTATATGACACATGGGAAAAATACTCGGAACAGAAAACATTACAACAGGAAAAAAAACAGCAGTCATAAGAGCCAGAATATTTAGGCAAATATTTATTCAATATATTGCCAGGCTGTGCTTCCATTTCAGAATTCTTTATGTTAGCAAGAACCTTCAAACCTAGAACTGAGACGCCAAGCAGCAACAGAGCAAATATGTTCACAGCTTCATTCTCATTATTATGGAGAAACTGACTATAAGCCAGGTAACATTGTCCTATGGTATTTTAATGGCTGAGCCCAAATGGTTTGGCTTGTGCGTTAGGCCAATGGAACTGGAGTTGCCGCTTCGTTTCCCAGAGCCAAGGAAGGATCTCTCTTACAATACAAGATCATACAATCACATTGTACCTGGAGCTTTGACCTTGACATAGCATGAGGCCCCGCCAGATGGATAGAAAACAAATGCTATACAGAGGGATTCCTGATAGAGCAGATATTCTATGCCTTTCCTTCTAGTACAGCAAGCCAAGTTTCAAATGATTAATGGACAAGGCTAAACCTTTCTAATAAGGAATAACCTATATATTCTTCGTTTGTTTTCCCCACTGAGCCATAGCAGGAAGGTTCCCAATTACAGCTAATTCACATTCCATAATTTAAAAAGAAACTTCTGTATTGACCCCATGCAGGATACAAAAGGAAAACCTTTTGCTCTCCAACACAGCAGTGGTGTGGAGGCAACGGTCTACCTGGATTGACAAAAAAATTCCAAATATATTGCTGTGATTCCGTCCTTCGAACAACAATCTGCAAAATCCTGTATGTTATTACAGGAACAAACTTCTGAGTTGGGTTAAGAGGCTTTTTAGCTTAGACATTTCTTCTACCAAATCTTATAGTCCATGTTGCAACATGGGGCTTCTGCCCATTTGCAATCCCAGCAGATTATTTCTCAAATATAGCTCAGATTTTGGAAGATTCAGCTCTCTCAATCCAAGGTGATTCTGAATCACTAGAATTTCTAGACTCAGCTGGGAACTGATGGAATTCACTC